CTTCAGTGACAGACGACATGATTAGACAAGAGAATCTCCAGAGGTCCCTTCCTACCTCAACTATTCTGTGAAGCTCTGATTCTATGTGTTGCTTTAAGAGACCGCAGAAAAAAGACTCCGGGCCAATTTAATGTAGGAGATAAGATAAGAGAGTAAGTCCTTTAATTTCAGGCCTGAGGTCCACAGGAATACATATGACGCATCCCTCATGTCCATGGGGTTCCACAATTTAAGGTATTATCTCAACCAATTCCAGATTTACCTGCCTCCCAGGTCCTCCCCCCAGCACACCTCTCTGGAAATTGAGGCAAGGGGCTCTGGGACCCTTTCTTCCTCATCTTCATCTTCCTCAAAGTAAGTACAGTCCTTGGAGTTCCTCCAGAGTTCTGGGTTTGAAGCTTGCTTTGTCTGGGGGGCACCTTGTTGCTCAATCCAGGGTGCAAATGTTCTTAAACAGAATGGAGGCCTACATTGAGGGAAGTCTAAACACACTAACAGAATTTAGAGGGATTGATAGGGAATTGGGTAACAGGGTTGGGTAAATGTGTAAACTACTATGCTAAGGGTAAGGGATATAATACAGCTACTTCTAAAATCTACAAAAAGCTAAAAATCAAAAAAATCCATAAGCATCATACATTACAGTAAAATGACATACATAAAGTCTACATTAAAAAGATACTGAAGTAATACATAGGGAGTAGGCCAGAATCAGCATGTAACACCCATCTTATGTATATTCTCCACTATAAGAATCTTTTATGAATACCAAAAGTAAAATATATTCTCATCATGATCACTTACTGAAGCAGGAACCTTCTTCTCCCAGTGGAGTCTTCCAGTTGCTGAAGTCATGCTCAGCTTGCTCTCTCTCATCCTATTCAGGATGAATATTCATTCATAGTCAACGAGCACTTAGTTCACACAAAGAGGAACAGTTTCAGCTCAAAATAATCAAAAAGTTCTGTCTCAGAAAACTCTGCAGCACTGCATCAGGGAGGCTGTAGTTGTAGACACCACGTCTGTGAGGCAGCAGGGGGAGCTGGTCCTGCCTTGTCTGTTCTATGTAATGAGCTACTGGACAAAGCAGAGCCTGAAGGAGGATGGGATTAGGGTGAGCGCTCATCTCAGCTGTTCCTACAGAAGAAGAAAAATATTCCTGAGATCCACTGGCAGATGCTTTGCAAGAAGACAGGCCATGCAACTGCTTCAGGGAAGCAAACAGCAAATGGTAGTGACTAAAGGGCACTGCAGAAAGAAAAGCAAAGGGAAAACCGAGAGGGAGAGACAAGTAAGGTGTCGCCAAGGAGACAGTGTTTGACCCAAGGAGGACAATACAGGAGTAAGTGTCTCAGGGAAGACTATAGAGTGGTTGGAAGGCAGAGTGAGAGGTTATCCCATTGCCCAAATGCCACTGCATAAAACTGTATGTTTTGTGCAGGATCTAGAGAAGAAACTCTAAATAAATACATGATATAGACATACAAATACTATAAGGTGGGGAGAGTTCCTGTGTGCACATAGATGGGGTTTGGGCATGAGCTATATGAACAGGGCACACAGTGTTATTAAGTCTAAGGCAACTCAGCCCAAATCCTGAGCATTTTGTTGCTTCCTGAACCAAAGCAGCATGGGCAGAATAACAACTAAGGGCAGCCTCCAAGGAGAGAAAGATGGAACAGAGGCATCTATCTACCACAGAAGTTTTTCAGTGGTTGTAGTCCTCATGGCCTGGAGAAGTACTAAGAGTTCAGAGTCCTACTGGAGTCAATGACAATACCATGCACTTAAGTCCTCAGGAATCCTTCATTAGGATCCCAAAACAGAGACACCAAGGAAGCAATTTAGATGATTAAACACAGGTGTCCAGTCATTCTAGACACCCCTCCCCTACTTTAGAATCTCACAAAGGAGTAAGGCTCACATAGTCCTGTCCATACCTGCCAGTTCCAGGAGGGTGTTTGAGTTACTCATGATTTACTCAAATTCTCAAAACTTCAGCTTTGAGAAAGATGTAAGTTTTTAAGCCATGTCAAGATTTATAGATGTTTATGTTCCTGAATGAGGCCTCGAATTTTAACTGAGATGTTTTTATAGGATAATTGGGGGAAGATGCCAGTAAAAAGGGCCATGGCAAATTTTTGATTGAGTACACTTTCAAAGTAGAATCTGCAGCTGTATAATTCACAGTCATGTCAACAACAGTTTTCAAAAATCTGCTCATATAACTGAGAATTTCTTAAAGAAAGTCATAGAAAACTGTGACATAGATTGGACAAAGCCTACAAAAAAGTATGTTGGCAGCAAAATATCAAAGTTATTGGTGAGTCCTATAAAGCTAAGTAAAGTCAGAACTGAAACCTTGATCTGGTGTTACCCACTGAAAAAAGAATTAGATACAATATGTGTTAAATTATCCTTTTATCACCTATGAAAGAACATCAGGGTTTGGCACCTATTATTACCGTTAGATGGACTATACTTTAGTCACACCTAGACTCAGTTATTGCCAGAGTGCTAGCTGCAGCAGATTATTTCAAAATATACCCCAGCTTGTGCTAAATTTGTAACACTGGGTGCCCAATTAAAAGAAAATTACTAAAGGCCCATTTTCTCAGCACTGCAGGAACTTGAAATATAAGAAAAATTTCTCACCATGAACTGTGAAATGAACATAAAAGTGCTGTAGACTTCTTTTTTTCCCTTTGAATTATGTATTCCCCTTTAGTGTAGTGTTAGAGACACTTTGGTCAGTAAAGCTACAGAAAGCAGCCCTGTAACCCAGCTGCCAACCCTGCTGAAAAGCAACCGGTCCTGGCCAACAGAGTCATTTTCAGGGACAGGAGGGCTGAGTCCCAGGGGCAGTCCTTACCACGAGGGCCGTGGAATCTTTACAGACATCTTTCTTTGTCTTTCTGTCTTAGCAGCAGCAGAATAACATAAAGGAGAAAACTACAGTCTCATA